TACAGTGAATAACCGTAAATTGACATCCCCAGAATTCATACACATCAACAAAATTTGATGTTTTTTTTTGTTGAAATAACTATGTTTCTTCTTAGTTTTATATATTAGGGTTGTATGTTACACCTAATGTTGTTAAATGAATGTTTCTTGCAGTATTTCAGTTTCATGTGTGTTATCATGATGGTGTTTAGTGTTTGTGTGAATGACACTGTGCGCCTTCTATATATGTTATTATTTAAAAGCTGCTTGTGATGGGCTTTGGTTCATCATGTGACTTTCTCATCACCTCCTGCATTTGGTGGTTATCAGTGTATTACAAAGGTACAAAACAGATTTCAGTACTTCAATAGGTTGGTATATTAACATTATATCAGTTAATGAAATTACGGTATTTAACTGTAAATTTAAGTTAAAACCGTAAAACCTAAAAGCGTTGCTACCGTATTTTTTACGGTAAAATTCCGGCAACCACAGCTGCCGGTTTTTTACCGTAAATTTTACTGATTTTTTTTTACAGTGTGGATTTCCTCAACCCGCTAAAGATACTCGGGGAATTTTGCATGAAGGCAAAAGATTTTCTCGCAGATTTCGCAAGGAGTTCGTGTTTTCTGGCAAATCTGCTGTGCGAACAGAAAGCTGCTTTGTTTGAAATACTTGACTTTTATGTGAGCTACACTACCCACTACAAACATGGATTTTTTTTGCCAGCAAAATTTTACCGAAATTTCGCTAATGTTAGGCCTACCACATTTTAAAGGGATAGTCCACCCAGAAATTAAAATTGTCTTATCATTTACTTTCCCTCATGCCATTCCAGATATGACTTCTTCAGACAAACTATTAAATAAATAATCTATCTCTGTGAGTCCATATAATGTAACATTTACAAGTTGTGTTAAAGGGGTCATATGATGCGATTTCAAGTTTTCCTTTCTCTTTGGAGTGTTACAAGCTGATTGTGTATGGCGTTATTTTAATGACAAATGTCGAGAGCACATTATTGTAGCGCGAAAGCACATTAATATAACGCTCGAGCGCGGATTTCTTTTGCTCTCGCACAAAACCGGACGCTCGCGCTCAGATACACGCTGCTCTCGCCCAGAGGGAGTGCGCGCACTTAAAAGGTGTCTCTCCTCGCACTCAAACTCAAAGGTGCGAAAAGATTGAATATCTAGCGCATGAGCACAGAGAGATTTGAGAGTGCACAGGACAGTTTGCGTGCGAGGAGAGACACGTTTTAAGTGTGTGCACTCTCTCTGGGCGAGAGCAGCGTGTATCTGAGCGCGCGTGTCCGGTTTTGTGCGGAGAGATTCGCGCTCGAGCATTATATTAATGTGCTTTCACGCTACAATAATGCACTCTCGACATTTGTCATTAAAATAACGCCATAATTGTGCATAGATAAGATCCCTGAAGTTGCAAAGACTAAAGTCTCAAAACCAAGGACTCAAGAGATATTCTTTATCAAAGTTAAGACTCTAACACGCCCCCACAAATCTACCTCACTATGTGGGAATATTTGCGTAATGCTGCCCAAATGTTCACGCAAAGAAAGAAGGCGTGGTTTCAGTAACCGCAGTTAGTGTTGAAGCAGCATGTCAGGGAGACGCTGTGTGTTTCAGTGTGAAAGCAAAAGCACTTTATTTGGCCTTCCTGAAGTAGATGCATTTAGGAATCTTTAAGATTACTTACAACAGAACAGCGATGCATTTTATGGATGACCGTTCTGTTGACTGTTCAAATGCAGAGTTTTGCGCATCGTGTGTGTGTGTGTGTGTGAGAGAGAGAGAAAGAGAGAGAGAGAGAGAGACACAGGGTCACATCACAGTGGAGTCAGCTGTCTTAACCGTGGCTTGTGTACTGTAACCACATACCAGCTTCATCACTGTGTCTGTCACGCGACTCTGTTCCCCTTTTGGGCTTGAACTGATGGTAAAACTAATGACATTATTTACTGTCTTTACATTTATTTTGAAAGATGAAGCTCGCGATTATGGTAAGGGGCGTTACATTTCCGACGAGTGCTTGCGGTGTTCGGCCAATCACAATGCACTGGGTCAGCTGGCCAATCAGAGCAGACTGCGCTTGTCGGAAGGAGGGACTTTGTAGAAAAC